CATTTTAAAAAATTTCACCCCCCCCCCCCCCCGAGGAGCGCTCTGCTCTAGTTTATATAAAAGCTTACCATTGTCGTTCTATATTTACAAATAATTTTTTTAGTTAAAAAGTTGACAGTGGAACCACGGTTACGGAGAATCTGACGTAAATACGCCTCTGTAATGTAATGAAATGTAATCATTCTTATATAAGATAAGTACTTGTGATATTCTAAAACGTTTTTACCAGCATAAAATTATCTACTCTACGACGCACTTCTTCTACAACCGATTCATAGCTCAGCTCTTTCCACAATAACGAAAGCGGATTGTTGACGGCAGTAATGAAACACAACAATGCCGAATAAACAGATGACGCAACAATTAGTTTCTTAGGTAACATAACAATGCACTCAGGAGTTCATATAAAAGCTGACCATTGTTGTCGGTCCATATTTACACATTGTTGATATGGATCTTACACTTTTACTTTCACTTTTTTGCCGAATGACACCGAAATTTACTCGAAGATATAATTTGGTTACATTCCATCCTAACTGTAAAAATCATAAATTAATATTAAATATTTTCTCTATAAGAAGGAAATAAATTTAAAAGCAATGAAAAGAGGCACGAAGAAAATTTTACAATTTCATTTGCACTTATTTAAAAATAACGTCCGGTTTTAGTATACTTGCCCGGGCGCTGTTGAGTCCATCCCTGGGTGAGAGAAAAATGTTTCCTTCGTTCGATTCTCGGCAAAGATGTTTTTTGTTGTTCGGATAGTAAGTACTAGGGAAGAATGGCGCTAAGGCAAATTTCGTTTGTCCCTGGAAAGGATCTGATTAACTAAGGTCACAAACCCGAAAACTGTCCTGAGTTCCAGAAGATGAATTTACAAGAAACTGTCGTATTTCCCCTTAGTAAACACTGCAGAACCTACTGGTCATTTGCAAACTTGAAATTGTGAGTTCACATGTTTCTTTACTCGTTCGCTTGTAGCTCGTGAAGAAGAAACCTGGCGTAATTATTCCTTAATACAAATGAGAGAATACTGGAAGGTCAGAACTCTGGGAAAAGTGACCTGAGTTCTATTTCCGGCAAGGGCGGCTCCTTCAACTCCGAAACTAAACAAGATACAACAACGGTGCCAGGATCAGAGTTTTTTACTTGGAAGAGGAGATTACAGAAACAAAGACCTCAAAACTGATAAACCGTCCTGGATTCGAGTCCTGACAAGGATGGTTTCTGTTGATAGGATCGTTAACTGCGATAAAAGAACGAAGCAAAGGCAAAATACGTTCGTTCGGAGAGGAAATTACAGGACCTAAGGTCACAGACACGAACTGTCCTGGTTCGAGTCTTTCTTAAGATGTTGCTTATTGGGGTAAATTTTACTGGTATATTAAAGAATACACATTTAATGATTAGGCCTATAAGCTTTACTGAAATTAACATTGATAAGGAATGTAAGCAGTTGTCCAATGTTCCTGCGGTATACTCTACGCACTCTTCGAGTAATAAATAGCCCAAGCATTTTAATCACTCACTCTATGGTGCATCACAGACGACAACAGAACCGCAAAAATAAAGAAGACGGCCATGCTGATTTCGGAGGTTCGTTTGATTCCCGGTCGTAGGTCAGAAACAAATAACATTCACTCCCTTGTATTTCATGACAGCCTGGTGCTTGGTTAAGCATTACAGATAACTGTACCTTGCCCTTAAAATTTAAAAATAATGAAGCCTTCACCTTCATACTTTTGTTAAAATGAATTATCAAGCAGAATATAATTGTTTTGCAACCTAAAATTGTCTCTTGGCATATTTAAATTACAACACAAAATATGAACAAAGTGGACAAAGAACACGAGCAATAAAAGAAGTTACAGAGTGGTGGGGATGGAGGAAAAGGGGCTACACATCAC